TTCCTATTTATATATTTATTTTTTCCCATTTCTTGGTTTCTTTTCCTTATGTTGGGTTGTTTTGTCCTATTCTGCTGTTTTTGTTTTTGTTTCATCTTCACTGACTTTTTATTATTACTCCTTAGATGTTTGCTTGTTTCTAATGAGAGATAAAAAGGGATGGATCCAGATGGGAGGGGATTGAGGAGGAACTATTAGTAGAAGGAGATGAAAACATAATCAGTTATATTTTATGAAGAAAATTATTTCCAAAAATAATTGAAAAATATATGCAAGAGATGCATTTTTTTAATACTTAGACGGCCTTTTCAGAAATCAAAATCAAAACAAAACAAAACCTTGAATCACTGGGAATATTCCTGAGTTCTATGCTGTGCTATATCTGTGGATAAATTAAGGTAATAACTTGGGAAGTTTTGAGAATTACCTGGCTTATGATTTATCCAGCTTATAAATAGAATGATTCAACTGGGTAATAACAATAATGATGATGCATGCTTAGGTAGAACTCAGTGGGAGGATAAGAAGGGTATTCCCTCTGCTTCTTTGGGCTTCAAAGGATGCTTATTAGTCAAGTGACTGATGTACCAATTTGAGGGGTGTCATTAAACATCTGCAAATCAAAGGTAGTTATGAAACTATTTCAATTAGGTGGTGCACATCTCAGGAAAGTAAGTAGTTTGAAGAAATCTGGGTCACTGGGAAAGCCAAATTTCTTGGAAGTATATTTTTAAACCAACTTGAAAGATATTTTTATTCTACTGAAATATATCATATTCTACAGAATATGTTTGCATTTTAATTCAGGGTAAGAATGAGCACAAAGTATATATAGATAATAATTATATTTATAAGCAAATGAGTCTGGAGAAGATTTGCTCTTTAGGAAATATTAAGAAGAAAACCATATGAAGAAGAAATGTATGGGAATCCATAAAAAATAATGATTTGATTAACTGATGCTATTTTAAGTAACATAAGAAAATAGTGATGCAAGCAATGTACAGTTGTCTCAGAATTATTGATGAGAATACAGTACTTTGATGTTGGTGTATATGGCTTTCATGTTTAGCAAGACAAGAGTTGCAGTGATCAAAATGCAATTTCTTTAGTTGGTTGTTGATGTTTGCCAAAGAGGCAACCTGACATGTTTGAATGTAGATCATCAATTCTAATTCTTGGAGCTCTCATTCAGTGGGGTGTAAAATAAGGTGAACATTTTTTAACCTTTCAATGCCCCATTTCTTCATGTACAAAATCAGATAAAATTACTCTTATTTTAGGATTACTAAATTGTTAATACGCTAGCAATGCATTATTTTATTCAACAGTGCCAGAGACATTTAAATGCCACAAGAATATTAAACACTAAACCTTATAGCTTTGCAGGTTATAGAATGTTGGGTGGAAAGCATAGTCTTCCTTTTTATTATTTTGGGGAGAGCACAGTATGTAGAAAGCACTATCAATATGCCTATGTGGTTTCTGGAGTCATGGATACAGTTATAAGTTTTGTGTATTGTAGTTCACTTTTTCTCTTTTGGGGGTGCCTCTACTCAGCTCCCAAATAAAGACACAGGAACTTATTCTTAGTTACAAATGCTTGGACTTATTTTAGCTTGTTTCTAGCAAGCCTAACTTAAATTGTAGGTTTTCTCTTCTATGTTTTGTCTCTGAGCTGTTTAGCTATCTTTATTCTGCTTGTCATTTTTTCCTTTTTTCTCGGTGGCTGACTGTGGGTAGCTGGCTCCTGGCTTCTGGCCCTTTGCCTATCCCTGTTTCCTCCTCCATTTCTCATTCCTCATTTTATTTTTGAGCCTAGACTCCTCCTCCTATTTATTCTTTCTGCCTGACATACCCACCTGTCCTTCTTCTGTACAGCTATTGGACATTCAGCTTTTTACTAGAGCAATTGGGTGTCTTAGGTAGACAAGGTTTAATAGCAACACATCCTTTCATAATTAAATAAACAACATAAACAAATGTAACATTTCTTTACATCATTAACAAACAGGGAAGAAACAAACATTACTCAACTTCACATAGTTAAAATAATATCTAACACAGCATATCATTTTTAACAATCCAAAAGGCAAAAAACATCAACTACTTATAATATATGAGCTGATGACTGCCATGGATGTTTGTTTTCTTTGTGCAAGAGGAGTAATCTATTTCAATCAAAGAAATCAGAAAGAGTCAGTCAACATTCTATATGTTTTACTTCAAATAACTCACATAATTTAAATCAGTAGGTAACAAAATAGCATGTGTTGTCGGTTTTATTTTCTCTTTACTCTTTGGGCTTTCGGGGGTCTGCATCCCAGCTCCATATAAATATACACAGAGTCTTATTATTACTTAAAAATGCCTGGCTTTAGTTTGGCTTGTGTCTAGTCAGCTTCTCTTAATTCATCCCAACTACCTTTTGCCTCTGGCCTTTTATCTTTCTCTACTTTAAATACCTGACTTTTCTTACTCCATGGCTTGCTTGCAGCTGGGTGGCTGACCCCTGAAATCATTTTCTCATTACTAGATCCTCTTCTTCCCAGATTTCTTCTATTTATTTTCTCTGCCTGACAGCCCCACCTATCCCTCTCCTTCATAGCCATTGACTATTCAGCTTTTTATTAGACCAATCAGGTTTTTTAGACATATAAAGTAACACAGCTTCACAGAGCTAAATAAAAGAAACACATCTTTTCATCATTAAATAAATGTTCCACAGTATAAACAAATGTAACACTTCTTAAAATAATATTGTACAACAAGTGTGTTTATTATTAGACATTAAAAATACGGACATGCTTAAGAAAAAAAGATCATTGCAAATTGTTGTGACAATTCATACACCATAGAGATAACTTTTAACAAATGCTGGGATTGATAAAGAGAATGCCTGATGTGCTATAAAAGGTGTCTGGTTGTATTCAGGGATATAAGTGAAATATTTTGGAGGCTTTTCTTTGTTTTATTTTGTTTTTTTTTTTTCCTGAAAGATCTCCAACACAGAACTAGAGGAAAATTTATTGGTGAGATTATTCCTTCCTTGATTTCCAGTAGAGTAGCACTTGAGTAAATATAGTAAACACAGAAGTACAATTGGATGCTAAAAAGTTAGAGCAAGAAAATTTAGAGCCATTTGAGTGGTAGTATGGAAAGAAAACATAATATATACATATATGAAGGCAATATAAATGTTATCAACCAATACATATGAAAAATAGAGCTCCACCAAACGAAGCTTCCAGTACTGAGAACAGGTTGTATCTAACTGAATTGTTTGCCAAAGGTTCCATGAAAATGCCTCAACAACTTAGGCTGTTGCCAAGACTATAGATTGCTCTCCACAAACTAATTACAAGATTCTATTGCTGAAGACAATGTACAACTCATAGACTCTGAAGCAGTTGAGCTGTTATGTACATATAGCCTTTACCCTTACATTTTAGTGTCTCTGGGTACTGAAAAGCACTCTGCATGCTAACAAAAAAGAATTATAAACATCAACTCAGTAACAAAACTTTTAATCTATAATGGTGTCATGCCGGAAAGATAAGCTAATGCAATGGTGGCACAAGCTTTGTTTGAGTAACCAACCAATATTTGATTTGGATTAAGGCCCACTCCACAAGATAGAACCCATACATGAAACTGCTGGTTCACCAAGAATCTAAGACTAAATAATTCAGGTATCTAGGTTAAAACCAACTACTACTACTAAAATAATGAAGCAATAAATGACTCCTAATAACATTTTGCTATACTTATAGATCAGTGTTTTGCTCATTCATCATCAAAGAAACTTCCTCCTGCAGCAGATGGGAATAAATACAGAGACCTACAGGCACATAATATGTAAAGAATGAGAGGCATTGGAACACTCATCCTTAAATTGGATGTCTCCATCAATTTCCATCCCTTGGGGTTCAGGGGAACCCGAAGAAGAGGAGGCAGAAAGACTGTAAGAGCCAGAGAAAAAGAAGGACACACACACACACACAAGACCCTGGAAGTCAACAGGATCAGTGCACATATGAACTCATATAATCTGAGGTAGAATCATCAGGGCCTTCACAGATTTGTATCAGATGGGGTCTTAGAGGTGAAAAGAGAAGGGACACATGCTGCCATCTCTAACCCATAAGTAATTGCCAGTTGATAACCACTTGCAAATGAAAATTTAGTTTTCTTCAAGGGAGTCTCAATGGGGAAACAAACTATTCTTAGGGTAGGCAGCATGCCAAGCAATAGATGGCCAACAGAAAACAAACTCAATGGCACATTTGGAGGTTAGTTGTCTTACAATGTTCTATCTCTGCTTTTAAAAAATTGTGTACATAATGTATAATTATATATCATAATATTAATATATTATTATAATGTTAATTTAATTACACATTATATATTATATGTAATATTATATATAATTATATATTATTGTGTTATAAAATATATATCCTATTTTTATTTAATTTTTACTCATGTATAGTTTCTATCCTTTTACCTTACAAGTCATTTGTGTGTCTTTTTTGGCTACCAGTTTAGTGTTCTAATGGGATTTATGGGTGTCCTAATAAGTAGGTATCTGCATATATATCCATTTCTTTCTTTTTTTTTATTTTATATAACCAAGTCCATTTAAATGAAAACAAACATTTATAGACAATATTTGGGAATTTGGGCGTCATTCTTTCCAAACTACTTCCTGCTGGTAAGGAGCGCTGTCATGGTGGATTCTAAGAAGATGCAGAAATCCTGGCTGTAGTCTGTAAGGATGCTTTGTCCAGCTGTTTTGAATGTAGGATCACCTGGTACTCTGTTTCAGGCGGTCTGGCTTGATCAAACCATAAAATTAGTCTGGAAGGAATCCACATCTTTTCATTTTCTGTGGACACAAAAATAGAAATCCTTTCCCCAGTAACTTGTCCTTGAACTTAAATTTTTGAGTTAAAGCCTTTTTTATTATTTAATTTATTATTTTACATGTCGATCTCAGTTCTCTCTCCCTCCCTCCCTCCTTCCCTTCTTGCCTCCTTCCCTCCCTTTTACCCTCTCTGCCCTCTCACATATACTCTAAAAACCCACCCCTCCCATCCCCCACCCCAATTCCATATGTAGGGGAATGCCATCCAGCACATCTGACAGGTCATGTGAAGTAGGGACTGACTAGGGCTTCTCTCCTGTCTCTAGATTAAGGCAGTTATCCCTCCATGGGGAATGTGTTCACAAAGTCCTTTTGTGCACTAGGGATACATCCTGGCTCCACTGTCTGAGGTCCCTGAGACTGCTCAGGTCCCTGAGACCCATATTCAGGGGGGCCTGAGTCGGTCCCATGCTGGCTTCCCAACTATCAGTCTGGTGGCCCGTTAGCTCCTCCTTGTTCAGGTAAACTGTCTCTATGTGTTTCTGCAGCCTAATCTTGTCCTCTCCATCTGCATCTGGGTTCTACTTCGACTCAGTGTTTATGTATGGGTTTTTGATCCTGTTTTCAACAGGCATTAGTTGAGGGCTCCATGGATAAGTTAATTGTTGATCTTACTATCCGGGAAGGGCATTTATGGTAGTCTTTCCATACCACCTTGAATGCGCCCGATCTCGTCTGATCTATATCCATTTCTTGTGCCTTGTCTCTTTTCCTGTTTCTTTATTTTGTCCTAGTACAATGTTTCGTTTCTCTTATTATGTTTTATCTTAGTATCCCATACAATCCTGTTTGTTTTCTATTGACAGACAGTAAAGGAGTCGATATGGATGGGAGAGTAGATGGGGCAGAACTGGGAAGAGTAGTGGGAGGGGAAACTGTAATCAAGTATATTAGAGAATAAAATCTATTTTCAATGCAGGAAAATGAAAAAGGTAATGGATTATTAGTGACTGTAGGGTTTTATTTCATCATACCTTATAACAGTGAGCTAATGATTCCTGCCCTGGTGTAGTTCATAAAGCCACTGTCAAGTTTATATGCAGCATGATAATGATAATCTTCCAGTAAATTATTGAAGTCTTATTGTGATTTAAAGGTGTAAATCTAGACAGTCATGAATGTCATGAGAGTGAGTATCTCTCATTAAAGAGACACACAAGACACAGATTTACAAAGTTCAGGCACCAGTGAAAAGTGAACTATCCATGGGCACACTGTCATCTCTGTCTGGAACATTGCTTGCTCTGTTGGCTGAGAAATTTCTCCACAATTTCCTCAACTTAGAAGGGTCCAGGGTCTCAGAAACAGACCTGTCATTTATTTCTTGCTGTCTCTTCTTTAATTTGCCTGTTAGGATTCAGTCGTGGCAGCTCATCAGGCAGAAGCCAGAGAGGACAGTATTAGATTAACCAGCAGAGAAATGAAAGAAGACTGGAAGGATTCAGAAATGTAGCTAGGAGACCCATCTAGGAAGGAGAATTAGTCCAACCTGACTTTAGTGTTCTGTATCTGAACTTGCTTCTTTTTTCTTCTTCCCTGTCTTCTGTGAACAATGACTGCTAGAATACTAACCCCATCACTGCATACAGTTTAAATTCATATTGTATTTGTGCAGAACTTATTGTCACATCAAGAGAAGACACCACAGTTTCAGAGGGTTTAATTATTTTGCCTGAAGACACCCTGAGAAGAAAGATCAGAGTTCATATCAATGTTAGAGTGCTGCTTCAATAAGTTTAGACACTGTCATGTTGCCCCTTATCTTTAATACAAATGATTATCAATGCTTCCCTACCCATTAATATAAACTACACACTCAGTAAACAAATGCAAAGGTTAAGAAAATAAACAGTGCTGAATGCTTGTGATGAACAAAACCTATCGAAAAGAAAGCAAAAAACAGAGTAATAGAAGATTAATTAATAAAATATATTATACAAAATATAATATTAAAGGCCCTCAAAACATTGAAATAAGACTATATTTGTTCCTTTCTAAAGATATCTAGAATGCAATATTTTCCCAAATCACAATGTAATTTTGGTTTACAAATACAATTTACTATGGTTTTAAGCACCGGGAAGTCTCTGCAAATGTAGACAATGAAAACTGCCAGTATTGATAACTGACTTTGGGAAAGTAGGGTGGGAGGGAAATAAGAAAAGGGGGACAGAGGTTTTATATTTATTTATTTTAAATTATTTTATATTTATTTTATAATGATTTTATTACAGATTGTATTGCATACTGACAGTTTGTGTTCTTTTGGATTAAAGGTAGACCATACTTAATAGTATATAAGATTATTTACATCTTCCAAATCTTATATTTGAAATTAGAAAAAAAGCGAAACTGTTTTTAACTCAGATGCGCTTCTTCTCAACAAGGCTATGCTGTGACTAAAAATGTCAGCACAACAGTACGTGTTTATAAAGTGTACATGTGTGGGATATTTTTACAGTGTGACAGCTAGAGGGAGGAATCTGTTCAAAAGCTAACCCCTAGCATTTGGCCTTATAGGTTTCTTGGTATGCATACACAACACATTCTTGGTAAGATCAAGGGTGGAACAGAAATTGATTCATTAAGCTTTTGTGGTTGATGTGCCCTAGATGTGTGCCACAATTCAGCATCTTGTGCATGCCAAGCTATTCCCCAGCCCACATAGAACAAAATTATTCCAAGGAAGAAGATGAAAATCTACATATGCAGGGGCAAAGAGCTGAGCCTACAGATTGTACACTCACCAGGAAAGTGTTTGTTCCAATTTCATAATTTTTAGAGAAAGATTTTATAATTAATATTAATATTTCTAATTCTGCATTTACTCCTACATAGACTGTGTTTAAGCAGCACCATTGTTAATGTCAAAATTTGTTATTTGTCTTTCAGATTGAGTGTTGTGTTACATAACATTTTATCTACATCAAGAAAATATTTCTATTTCCACTAAGCAATTCAACTTAAAAAAAAGTATCTATGATATCCAGTATATAGCATCAAAAGTTAAAGATTTACATTAATCAAGAATAAGTAGGTAAAACAGAGTGATGTAGAAATACTGGTCACTGAATCACAAGTTTGATTTATACTCTTATTTCTCAGATATATGATATATGATTCTACTATGATGCTAAATGAATACACTTTCCACATATGTTCTCATTGAAGAATGTCCTTTATTCCCAAGCTGGACTTGGAGTCCTAGCCAATTTATTTCTCCTTTTTTTCTACACTTTCATAATCCTAGTTCATAAATCTAAGCTGATGGATCTGATCTCCTGTCAACTGACACTCATCCACACATTTCTGGTCCTCACTGGAGGGGATATTGGGCTTATAGACATATTTGAGTCACTGAACATTGATAATGACTTCGAATGTAAGGCAACTGTTTACATAAACAGAATGATGAAAGGCCTCTCCATCTGCATCATCTGCCTCCTGAGTGTGTTCCAGGCTGTCACCATCAGTCCAAGTGCCTCTTTGCTGGCAAAATTTAAACATAAACTAAAAAAATACACAATCCATGGTTTCTTCTACATTTGGTTTCTCAACTTGTTATTCAATAGCAACCAGATCTTCTATGTTGGGGCTTTTTCCAATTTCTATATATTCCATATATCTACTTGTATATATAGCATTTACAGTCACATCCTATACATAATGCACAGTTTGTGTGCCTGTATTGCACCTAGGGGTCTTGCCTTAGGATCCTATTGATTTACATTGCCTCATTTTATAATTGACACCTAAAACGGTACTGACGATCATAGAATATTAATCACATTTTTAAAACCAAGTACACTTTATGTTGATCTTTAAAATACACACAAAAGAAACCCAAAATAGCAAGGTGAGACATTCTCATGTTCTATAATTTTAATATGCTCTATTTTCCAACTATCAATGTTTTAACTGATAAATCTATTGAATTCACAGTGGTAATTCATGACAACCCCACTATATTAATACACAAAATATTACAATTCATATGTTCCTTTTTTCTATTAAGTCTTCCATCCCCAGAATCCAGAATTAAAGCCATACAGTTGGAGACCATTATTACACTTTCCACACCCTGTTAATTGTATATCTATTAACTATGGTTATAAATGATCCTAGATATCTCTCACTCTAGTTCCCACTCCATAATCTTTTGGAACACTCCACTTCAGGTCTAAAGAAGTAACTCCAAGCTATCCATAAAAAAAAAAAAAAAAACAAAAAAACACTGTTTCTTTTCATTTTATTTTGGAGTCGTGTGTAAATCATTAATAGTATGATTCCTTATAACGTTTTTTTTTAACCTTAGAACTTTTCAGTCATCTGTACTGTTATTTTATCTACCTTCTTCTGTATTTATCTCCTGCCACCTCAAATAAGAACCCCCCCACATTATTCAATTTCCCCTATCAGATTAATTGTATTCTACTTCATTATATTTTCCTCTCATCTTCTCTATTTACCCGTGTCCTCCCCAATCCCTGAGGAGATCACTTGTACCCTATTATTCTCCTCAGTAACATTCTGCACACCACCACTCCCATCCTGGCCATGGTCCCAAATTGCTCTGGTATCTGTAGTAGGCAAAGGGTACATGCTTACATTTGAAGATATGCAGATAGAAGCCTCCAACAAGAGAGAACATGCGACACAAAAACAAACACTATTTTCAACACATTTCGGCAAATGTAAACTTGCTGAAGATGAACATGTAGTTGCTGTGTTTTGGAATTTCTGTTTTGAAAAGAGATTCCTTTCCATGCAGTGGAAAACAAGGTCCTAGTCTTATGAGAGTTCATCACCACACAGACAGTTGTTTTATAATTTCAGTCAACTATCTTATGTTTGCTGCTCATTATTTGGCCTGGATACCAATATTTCTACTTTTTGAATTGCTATGATTCAGTGATTTCAAAGCAGCTTTGTGATGGCAGATGTCATTCTGTAAACATGTTTCTCTTATTGGTTAATGAATAAAGGATAGACAGGGCTAGGAGATAAGGAGGATTCTGGGAAATGTAGTAAAGTAGAGATTCAAGATGTATAGACTTGAGAGAGGGAGGAGTGATAAGAAAAGGGGTCAAGACCAGGCTACAGAAACCCACAGAGACAGCTGACCTGAACAAGGAGGAGCTAATTGGCCCCCAGACTGATAGCTGGGAAAGCAGCATTGGACCGACCCAGACTCCCTGAACATGGGTCTAAGTTAGAAGGTCTGGGTTATCTAAGGGACCTCTGACAGTGGAACAAGGATGTATCCCTTGTGCATGAAAGGGAGCACATTCCCCAATGGAGGAATACACACATAGCCTAGAGACAGGAGGGAGGGCCTAGACCCTACTCAAATGACTTGACAGATTTTGATGATCCCTACTGGAAGGCTTCAGCCTCCCTGTGGAGTAGGTGGGGAATGGGATAGGGGAGGGGTTGTTGGGGGGCATTGGAGGAAGAGAGGGAGAGGGAACTGGGATTGATATGTAAAATAAGAAAAATGTATTTGTATATATGTATGTATGTATAAAATGGACCTTCATTGTGGGTACCAAGAACTTCCATTTTACACCTGACAAAAGCATAAGCCAGGATTTTAAAAACAAAAGAACAGAGACAAGCAAGTCTTCTTGATAGCAGTATTTTTCTCGATTGGTCTCTGTTTTGCTAGAGACAATCAGAGATTTGTGCAGCTCCTTTAAGGGAGGTTTCCTGACTCAGCATAAATGGCAAAAAACAAAACAAAACAAACAAACAAACAAAAATCCCCAGGGCTCTTTTAAGAAGCCTTGCTAACAATTCAATTGTGTGTACAAGAGCTGGCAATGGCAGTGACCACATCTCCAAGCTGACAGCATGCTGCTCAATGACATAGACCAAGGCAGTGTGCACAGCTCTCAGTGCTTTCATTTTAGCAATGCTCTTTAGCAGATAAAAGACTGGTGGCCAGAAGGAGATAAAGATTTACAGTAAAAACAAATTCAGACAAAGAAAAACCTCTAAAAGGTTACAGTGTGTTTTAAAATATACATAGGCTTGAGAGAGATAAAACAACAGGATAAAGTGGTTTAAAAAAAATAGAAAGAGAGTAACAGGGTGTGGTGGCACATGCCTTTAATTACAGCACTCGGGAGGCCTGATTTCTAAGTGAACCTGGTGTACAGAGTGAATTCCAGGGCAGCCAAAGTTACACAGAGAAACCCTGTCTCAATAAATGAAAAAAATAGAAATAACAGAAATAGAGTAATAAAAAAGCCACATAAAAATGGAAAATACACAGAGAGTGTGGATACTGTATGAAATCGTGTTTTCTATGAATTGCTTAATTGCTAAGTTAGGAACAATAAGCATTAAAATACACTTGATTATCAATGCTGCTGAATTAATCCAATTTGTATATGTTTACAATGCTTTGATTTCCAAATTGAAATCTAAGGACAGGTTACTGGGGAAAAGAATTTCTATTCTTGTTTCCACAGAAAATGAAAAGGTATGGATTTCTCCCAGACTAACATGGTTTATCAAACAAGACCCCCTGAAGTGGTGTCCCAGGTGATCCAACATTCAGAACAACTGGGATAATGCACCCATGCATATCACTACAGCAAGAATTTCCTTGTCATCTTTGGATTTCCCATGACAGCGCCCCCTACCAGCAGGAAGCAGTTTGGAAAGAATGACACCCAAATTCCCAAACACTGTTTGCAAAAGGTTGTTTTCATTTCAATGGAATTGGTTATAAATGGTTAATGATCACAACCAATCTCTTTCTAAAGGTTAAAAAGGGGGTTATGGTATAGAAATGTAAATTTTGTTTTCAGATGGATTTTTACTTATTAATAAAAATTTAAGGTCAATTTTGTGCTATGTGTATTTCTCCTCTTGTTTAGATATTGTATTTATATAGATCATTTAAAAATGGAATGTATAATTAAGAATAGATTGTAGATAGTTACCTATGATAGTCAAAACTTATACTTAAGTTAGTTTTTCTAGATATACAGAGATATATTTCAAATGGTAGCCATTCTTCAAACCTTTCAAAGACCTATAGAATATGGCATTTAAAATGGTTTATGGTTTTTCTTAATAGTGAGGTACAACTGCTCTTAGAAACACCACCTGTGTCAGAAAGGAAAATGGACATTGAAGAAACTCATTATGTGAAGTTTACTTCCAATATGCAAGACTAGCCATTTGGGCAAGATACTGCTACTGTCTGGACTGTTTGACTTTATGCTGAATAAACTGGACATGTGGGACCCACAGAAAAGTGACTGCTAAAACAAAATGGACAGTACTACAATGTTCATGCTTCATGGAAGAGTCTGCCAGACATTCTTCAGGACATAAAGAAAAGTGACTGACAAACTGCCAATACAGGTAGACAGTTTAAAGTTTCCTGCTTTGCTGAGGAGTCTGACAGACACACTATGGCCTATAGACTGAAGATGGAACATAACAGAAGAACTTCGGGTGACTAACCAGTCAGTGAGTTGTCTCTGTCATTTCTAGAGTTTATATATTTTCCTTCTGTGGTCTTTGATGGAGTTGAAGACAGATAATTATGGTTATAGTTTTTCTTCATTACATATAAGACTTTAGACTCTCAAAGATAGGATAGATTATAGAATATTTTCTTTAAATCTTGCTAAATATTAATGGCCTAAATATTGTTATAGTTCTTATTTGAAAACTACTTTGTTTTATATTTTACTATGTCAAAGTTAAAACACTTCCTTTTATTGACACAGAAAAGAGGAGATGATGGGAGATGTCACCCTGTAAATATGTTTCTCTTACTGGTTAATGAATAAAGCACTGTTGGCTATGAGGAAGGCAAGATAGGCAGGACTAGGAGACAAGGAAGATTCTGGGAGATGTAGTGAAGGGGAGTCAAGATGTAGGGACTTCATAGGATGAGGTCTAGACCCTCTATTTGATAAGAAAAGACCATGTGAAAACACTTAGATTAATAGAAAGGGGTTGATATTTAAGACAGAGCTAGCTAATAAAAAACACTAGTAACTGACCAACTGCTTTATATCTGAAAAAAAAAAAGTATCTACTGTGCCTTAGTTTATTTTCTGTTGATATACCATACTAGACATTTTATTAGGAAATTTTTTTTAATTATTTGAATTATATAGGAAAGGCTTTTTTTTTTAAACTTTTGTTGTTGTTACTTATAACTTTTGAGACAAGGAAGTGCAAGAGACTAATTATTTTAAGCTCTTACACAATGCTTAAGCCTTACTTCACCTCAGAGTGGAAGACAGGAGTAGAAAAGGTGTATCCAAAAATGATAACATCACTTTATATCAACCTTGTTTCAACCCAACCCTAGACAAGCTAAATACTCTTGTCTGAAAGAATCCAATCTCTGGAGACATATGCTAATATATATTAATGTAATACTTTATTCTTAGAAAATATATTACACAATGTATTATCCATCTCATCTACAATCATTACCTCTCCCAACTACCCTAGGGATCCATCAACCCATCTCCATCTTAACTTTATGTATTTATTTTTGATATTCTTATCATGCATTATCAATAATTATCAGGTGAGTTAATTATTGCTATGTGATAATGTATATCGGGGTCATTTACTGGGAATGAAAAACCTACCAGTAGCAAGTTACTGAAAGGTTACTCTCCATCTCTCAGTTGCCATCAACTGTCAATAGCTCTTTAGGTATGGAATGGCCTCATAAGTAC